ATCTCTAAAAAAATGTCAATCAAATCATAAAAAGTAGAGCAAATGAATTCATAAAAATAAGTATCTCATATTTGGATCCTATAAAAAGTTAGGTTTTTATAATATCAATTTCAAAATTATTCAGTCTTATAAAATTTATTTAGCAGAATAAATATTTTCACAGGATAACTTTGACCTCCTCAATTTGGGTATATGTTTATGAATAAAGGTTATATTGGATAAACTTGAAGCCTGTGTATATATATGAATTTAGATGCATGAAATGCCTATTACATTAGCATTTACAAAATGTTGAATTCTTTTGTTTTAAATGCTTTTGAATTATAATCTATTTGGATATACATAATTATGTTTTACTTCTAAGATGAAAAATCTAGCTTTATTTTTTTACTTTAAGTATAATAAATATGATTATTAAAAGCTTTGAATTTATGAAGGAATTTAGAAGGAGTTAAAGGTATTAATGAATAGATGATATTAGTTTAATTCAAATATAACAGATTAAAGTAAGAATAAACATCTGCAGCTAAATTTTAATCATTTACTAATAAAAATAATAAATAAGAATCAAGTCTTTATCTATAACTTTTTAAATAGGAAGTAATTGAGAACATTATTTACTTTATTATATTTGATAAATTCAACAATTATTCCTATTTAGTTTTATTTTCTCAGCATTTTTTACTTTTAGGAATAATCAATTTATTTGTCATATATATTTGATGTTACACATAAAGTCTTATGAATCCAGAAGATTATAATGTAATAAAAATTAAAAATAAATATTTAATTGAAAAATATAAAATTGTTTTGATCGCATTCATGTCAATTTTAGTCTTTATTTATATATTCCTTACTTTTGATTAATTAATTATTAAATTGAAATTAGGAAAATATTGAAAATTACAAATTTCTTAAGGATTTATGATCTTTTGAAAAACTGATTCAATTTGAGTTTTAATAAGTTTTATAGATAATTTCAAGTAAATTCTATTAATCATGATTATGAATTTTTAGAATTGAGTTTATGAGAAATTCTATAAAATATTTATAAAGTGCAAATGGAGATAATTTACAACTGATCACTTATTTGATAATTTGAAATTATAGATTGAATATTTTTGACCAATAAATTAATTGGGAAAACTTATCATTAAACGATTTACTAAGTTATTAAATAAAAATCATTTTATCATTTTCAAATATTAATAAAGTTATTTGAATAATAGACATCAAATTGTAATAATTTTGAACTTTCGTCTCTCATTGTTTGTAATTATGCTCAATTCAATTAATAAATTTACTTAGAATTCAACCTCATTAATAATTTTGAATTCTGCTTTAAAAACTATTTACATAAAGGAATTGAAACAAAGCTGCTGATTTTATGTGAGACAAAAATAAAGATGGGTTGAAAACTGAAACTTTGGAATCGTCATACATTTTCTCTTTTCTTGATTAAAATTGCAATTTCATAACATTTCATGCTTATATAAAATAGAGAAACGTTTATTAGATAATTAGTAAATGAGATGACCACAAAAGATATTTCATATAGAAAGTTTTGAAATCATTCTTTGAGTCTAGCAGATCTGGTTATGTAAACTCAAGTATGAACTCGGTTACAGGAGTTGAGATCTTAATTATACCTCTTTGATTCATTAAATCAAAGAAAATGATCTGATTAGACTGAAACTGATAAAGTAAATTTGGATTTGAGATCTTATAGCAGGAATAATAGCTGCCTACTTTTAAAGCTGTTATGGCCAAGTATGACCCAAGGGACATAGATTTGGTTATGATCTAAGCACTTCTCTTTGGATTGAATTGATCTGTATAATTTAAGTTTAAAGAAATGGAAGGCTGTCCAATTATTTGTCCAACACAGGGTTAATTTTAAAGAATAGATAAACCTTCATTAAAAATCGGATTCAAAGTTAAAAAATTAAAGCCTTGAGAGCATATTATATAAAATGAGAAGTATTAAGGCTAATATTTAAATTTAGAAATCTTTGGTTTAAGAGAATATTTAAAATGTTAATTCGCAAATTAAAATAATCCATTATAAAATAACCAGATGAATCAGGAATATGGTTATTAGGTTGAATGCGAATTAGAAAATTTTTACAATTCTTAGAGTATTGATGACGTCATTTACGAAAGATAGAATTCAGATAAATTTTAACAATTATATGGAACCTGAGTTTTCCCTATTTATGATACAAACAATTTGTACTATACTGCTTTGAAGAAATATATTTATCTTCTGAAGTGGAACAATAACATTCTGATATTAAGTTTACAGAGAGATCATTTTTAGCTTTTAAAGGAGTATTAAAACAGATTTAAATTGATGGGCTTAACTAATTAAATAGTTTGGAAATGAAGCTAGATTCAACACTGATGTTAGTAAAACTTTAGAAGATTTTATATTAGAAGACGTATCACCTAATATGTCTTTTAAAGTAGGAAAAGTAGAAGATTACATATAAGAAGTAGGCAGATTTTCAAAGAGTGTAAATTGAATAAGAAGGTGAGATACAGGAGAGTAAGTTATCACAGGAGAGATCTGTAAATTACATCTTCTTCTCCCCTGGTTTGTAGGAATTGATTAAATACGAATGTAGAGATATAAACAACCCCCATAGCAAAACTCAGTATAAACCTTATAAGTTTGTTTAAAGGGGAAGTTCAATATACTGATTAGGAGTATTTAAGAGTAGCTATTGAGAAGGTAAGTAGTAGAAGTCAATTCAAAAAGAAGGAGGAATAGTTAGTCCTATCAGAAATGAATAATTCAAGTAATAAATTAAATAACTGAAAAAATTAACAAATAAATCTAATTTGAATTGTAAAATTACGATAATATTTTTTGGAGATTTATAGATAATTCTATCGTAATATAATTCTTAAAGAACTCGAGATTTCCTGTTTAAAAGATTTTCTTACTTATAACAGTTTGAAGTTCAGGCCTCTTGAAATTTATACCTCAGAGCCAATGCTTATAACACTTAACGAAATGGTCATTTTAGTAACCCTATAATTCTTTATTCTAAATGAAAGTTAAAATATATTTAATGCATAGATAGCATACTGCCAAAAATTCGACCTAAAAGGTAGAAATATTGAGTCAAATACTTATAAAGGTAGTTTGTACAAGGANTAAGCACTTCTCTTTGGATTGAATTGATCTGTATAATTTAAGTTTAAAGAAATGGAAGGCTGTCCAATTATTTGTCCAACACAGGGTTAATTTTAAAGAATAGATAAACCTTCATTAAAAATCGGATTCAAAGTTAAAAAATTAAAGCCTTGAGAGCATATTATATAAAATGAGAAGTATTAAGGCTAATATTTAAATTTAGAAATCTTTGGTTTAAGAGAATATTTAAAATGTTAATTCGCAAATTAAAATAATCCATTATAAAATAACCAGATGAATCAGGAATATGGTTATTAGGTTGAATGCGAATTAGAAAATTTTTACAATTCTTAGAGTATTGATGACGTCATTTACGAAAGATAGAATTCAGATAAATTTTAACAATTATATGGAACCTGAGTTTTCCCTATTTATGATACAAACAATTTGTACTATACTGCTTTGAAGAAATATATTTATCTTCTGAAGTGGAACAATAACATTCTGATATTAAGTTTACAGAGAGATCATTTTTAGCTTTTAAAGGAGTATTAAAACAGATTTAAATTGATGGGCTTAACTAATTAAATAGTTTGGAAATGAAGCTAGATTCAACACTGATGTTAGTAAAACTTTAGAAGATTTTATATTAGAAGACGTATCACCTAATATGTCTTTTAAAGTAGGAAAAGTAGAAGATTACATATAAGAAGTAGGCAGATTTTCAAAGAGTGTAAATTGAATAAGAAGGTGAGATACAGGAGAGTAAGTTATCACAGGAGAGATCTGTAAATTACATCTTCTTCTCCCCTGGTTTGTAGGAATTGATTAAATACGAATGTAGAGATATAAACAACCCCCATAGCAAAACTCAGTATAAACCTTATAAGTTTGTTTAAAGGGGAAGTTCAATATACTGATTAGGAGTATTTAAGAGTAGCTATTGAGAAGGTAAGTAGTAGAAGTCAATTCAAAAAGAAGGAGGAATAGTTAGTCCTATCAGAAATGAATAATTCAAGTAATAAATTAAATAACTGAAAAAATTAACAAATAAATCTAATTTGAATTGTAAAATTACGATAATATTTTTTGGAGATTTATAGATAATTCTATCGTAATATAATTCTTAAAGAACTCGAGATTTCCTGTTTAAAAGATTTTCTTACTTATAACAGTTTGAAGTTCAGGCCTCTTGAAATTTATACCTCAGAGCCAATGCTTATAACACTTAACGAAATGGTCATTTTAGTAACCCTATAATTCTTTATTCTAAATGAAAGTTAAAATATATTTAATGCATAGATAGCATACTGCCAAAAATTCGACCTAAAAGGTAGAAATATTGAGTCAAATACTTATAAAGGTAGTTTGTACAAGGATTATGGCTCTGTAGCTGTTTAATATAAATTGTATATGTCTAATGATTTTATAGATTAGATGTGAGACTATGGTTGGGCTATATATAGGGTCAGAATTGACAGATTTTTAGGGAGATTACTATTGTGGATTGTTAAAATTTGAAGGATACTCTCTGTTAGTAGTATCTCACAACTTTTATTAGGGTTTTTCCTAAATGGTAATATGGACTTTAAGTTTAAACCATTTAGGAAAAGTTTAGTTATAGGGACAATCTTTAAATAGAGGGAATAGTCAACTCCTTCCCTTTTTATGTTTCATTTCGTTATTGGAAGGAGAGACTGTTATTTAAGATGACGCTACTCCAGACTGCTGTATTTCCAGAAAATTTATTGTTTATTAGACAGACCTTAACTATAACTTCACATTAAGTTTCTAATAAAGATACTTTTGTCCAAATTGGATAACCATATCGCACATGACAATTTATCAATCACAATCTTCAGAATTGAGGCTTTCTATCAGTAAAATTGTAAATTACTTGCAATTTTGACTATTCTTTAGATTAGTTTATTTTTTGCTTAACAAGAAATTTATATCAATGAGTATAATTTCAGATACTTATAATTAAAAGCCAATATCTAGTAGATTGATAAATTAAAACTTGGTTAACGATTAGTTTATCTGCCATTAATAGGAGTTATTTGATTATCTAAAACTTAGGATTCATTATTTACTTCATTCTTTGGTTTATAAATTGATCTCCATCTTCATACAATTAAAATAATCTTAAAATTTCCTTAATAGTAGAAAATGAATTTATGAAATATGATTACTTCAATTAAAAATTTCTCATATGTTAACAATTGAATAAGAAAATAAGGAAAGAAAAGAAATTAATCAATAATTACTTTCAAAAATCACTCTAGAATAAAGTAAAACAATAATTTTGATAAAAACTTAGATTAGTAATGACTGTCTTCAATAATGTCATTTAGGGTATTTCAAAGGATTGTTTCAATAGTAAATTAAAATAAGTGATTGAATTTTAAAGTTTGAATTAAAAAAAATTCTCAGAAATCAAAATAATAGGCACTCATAATATATTCATCCAGACTCAACTGAAGAAACAAAAAATATTAATTAATAATTAATTTTTCTTCGCAGTTAAACAATCCTTAAATTATCATTTTGCTGATAAAAGAGCTAACATATTTATAAAAATTTGCAAAACTAATTGAAGCATTAATTTTTCATGCGTTAATCTGAATTAGACTAAGAATTTTACAGATTAGGTACTGTCCTTTAGGTTGATATTCAAAGGGAAAATAGAAATTCTATGGCTATGCTCGAATTGAGAAAAGGAAGATACTGATAATTAGATAATACAAAATTTCCAAAAAATTAAAGAGAATGGAAAGGATGGAAATGTAATGATTAATATTTATTGTCCAAAAAACCCATGAGAAAGGAATTTTAAACACAAATTCGAGTTCATAAGATTTATTACCCAATAATCATCTGTATATGATTGATCTATCATAAAAATATTGTAATATTCAATTGAAATTTTCCAAAAAATCTATTCTTTTGGATATGAATTTTATTATATAAAACCCTTTTAGCATATGGCTTGTTTGTGTATGTCTATAGAAATCATTTTTGATGATAATTTGAATTACTTTATAATAATGCTGAATATTTCTAGACTTTAGATATATTCAAAAAAACAAAAAAAAAAGAATTGAAGATTTAATGGATAATAATATTTGGTAGTTATCACCATTATTGTTTACAAAAAATGAATCTGTAAGATTAAATTATTTATTAATAGAAAACATCAAGCTTAAATAGAATTTGCCCTAATCACAAGAAAGAAATTATTTTGATTGATATGGACTCTTAAAATAAGAAAATTGAAGATAGGTTTGCATGTGTTGACTGCATTCCTGAGAACCCATAAATTAAATAC